GTCGGATGTACATGTAGGTCGTGTATATTAATAATAGACAGAGGCTGGAAGCGTTCATTGTGCCACGTGTCTTGTGGAGTTGGTGTAGTAGTTTTTTGGCTTTGTTGATGGTTTCTATGATCATGATGATGTGTTGGGTCCATCGCATATCGTCTTGGAGTGTAACACCAAGGTGCCTATGTTGGTGGACATGCTGCAGCAGAGCTGAATGGAGCGTGATGTGGATGGTGTGTTGGGGTTGGAAGGATCATATACATATACCGGTACATGTAATACAGTAGAGAGATGACAGATACAATTACATGATTGTGCTACTAGTAAGAAGCATTCAAGCTCAACTGCAGATAATACAAAATTGAATGTACATGTACATGTACATGACATTACTTTGATATAATCCAAAACTGGTAAACCAGTATTAGATAAACCTTGTTGTAGTTCAGGCAATTGTTAGATTGACAACCGCGAAGGTTGTAGCAAGGTCACTGTTTTCGAACACAGTGTCCTCATCCTTGTTTCATGCTGTCAATCTAACAAGTGCATGACATTACAAGTACACGTACATTGTATGTACATGCACATGACTGTACTGGTTAAGTTTTGTGGTTTTGCATGCTATTTTTGACTCTTCACATTTATTTTCTTCGTGTCACTTCTACACAAATTGAAGTGCTGTATCTCTGAACTTCTTTTCTTTATTATAGCTGTAGTCTCGTTTATTTCCATCATTCCTGATTTTGAGAAGAAGGGAACGAAAACGTTTGAAACTTTGAATGCTTATGTTATGACACATGTCCTAATTGGCTGGTGGTGCGTTCTTGCGTAGATGCATGCGTAGATGTGTGCAATATGTTCTTCCTCCGTCCAAATAACTTACGCAGATTGAGTAACTTAGCATACATGTAGTGTTTGTACTACTGAAGTAGTACAGTAGTCATGTACATGTACATGTAGATGCGAAAGGACCCAAGCGAGCTTGTGACGTTGTGTCTCTGACGCCTACATTTTTGTAGTACAATGTCATGTACATGAACAGTACGTACATTTGTACATGTACATGACATTGTACAATAATTATTATTTAGGGGTCGTCCACAAATATCGATGTTTTTTTAGAGAAGATATTCGTTCGTTTGGGGGGGGGGGGGTTTGGCCCTGTTCGTCTCGTCTTTGAGAAAAAATATCGAACTCTATCTATGGACAGGCACTGTTCGAACATGTAGTTTATGACCTACATTGTACACAAAGTGAAAGTCAACCTCGTGAGCATAACCATGGCAAGGTTGTGCGACCGCGGCAACATAAACCTAGGTGTATGGTGAAATTAGAGTTGCAGCTGGTCACGTTTCATGATGAAATTGAACTTCATTTTAAAAATATCGATCCCTTGCATAAACATGTGTATGTTCGTTTTGAGGGGGGACTGGGGAGGGAGGGGTCTGGGGAGAAATGAACAAAATTAACATCGTCTTGAAAAAAATATCGATATTTACTTTAGTTCCATTGTATTTTTCTGAGAATGCAATGTATGCAGGTGCAGCATCGCTGGTGGGTAAGCACCTGGACCGTCTCCAAGTTCTGCAGAATCGTGCGGCTCGAGCTGTTTACGGATGCTCGCCGCGCCGCGCACCTCTGCCAGAAACCTGCTAGTCCAACTCGGCGCCTACCGTGTCCGGAGATCTTCATCCAGAAGCTCATCTTCCTGGTTTGGCGCTGCCGCTACTCCCATGCTAGCCCCACACTGCGAGTGCTGTTGCTACCAACCAGTGGTGCTTCTACTCGGCTGCAATCATCTACATGATTGTACTAGTATAATAAGACCACCGCCAACCCGCACTGAGCTGGGTAAGGGTTGTCTCGCGTTCCAAGGAGCTAGGCTCTGGAATGCATTGCCCAGCGATTTACGGGCCATACCGCCCCCGGCCCAATTTCGCACCGCTGCTGTTCCACACAGCACGAACCTTTGAGGTCAGACGGATCACTATCGCTATATTTTCATTATAATTATGCCTGTCTGTTGGCCTGCCTGCCCGTCTCTCTCCCTGTTTCTCTGACAACCTGCTTGTTAATTCGTGCGGTTGTTTTCAGACGTAAAGCCCTGTTGTAGAGGTCTCAGCTCATTTGTTAGTTCTTCTCTCTCTCTCTCTCTCTCTTTTTCCCTCTCTCTCTCTCTCTCTCTCTCTCTCTCTCTCTTTCTTTTCTCTCTCTCTCTCTCTCTCTCTTTCTCTCTCTCTCTCTCTCTCTCTCTCTCTCTCTCCTCTCTCTCTCTCTCTCTCTCTCTCTCTCTCTCTCTCTCTCTCTCTCTCTCTCTCTCCTCTCCTCCTCTCTCTCTCTCTCTCTCTCTCTCTCTCTCTCCTCTCTCTCTCTCTCTCTCTCTCTCTCTCTCTCTCTCTCTCTCTCTCTCTCTCTCTCTCTCTCTCTCTCTCTCTCTCTCTCTCTCTCTCTCTCTCTCTCTCTCTCTCTCTCTCTCTCTCTCTCTCTCTCTCTCTCTCTCTCTCTCTCTCTCTCTCTCTCTCTCTCTCTCTCTCTCTCTCTCTCTCTCTCTCTCTCTCTCTCTCTCTCTCTCTCTCTCTCTCTCTCTCTCTCTCTCTCTCTCTCTCTCTCTCTCTCTCTCTCTCTCTCTCTCTCTCTCTCTCTCTCTCTCTCTCTCTCTCTCTCTCTCTCTCTCTCTCTCTCTCTCTCTCTCTCTCTCTCTCTCTCTCTCTCTCTCTCTCTCTCTCTCGCTCGCTCGCTCGCTCTCTCTCTGTTTTTGGTGGACAAAAACATCTCTGGCGTTGATTGCTTTCTTGCTTCGACTTCTGCCGCGCCTTCGTTCTCGTACTCCCCTTTATGTACAAGTGTTGTGCAAACCCTCCTTTAATATAGTCTGTCTCATTTTGCCCTGAGATGTTTTGATGCATAGTGATTATTACGCTCATCATTTGCTCCCTTGTCAGTGGACAATTCTGTCCGTTTGGTTTTAGCGAATTCAAATAAAGAAACAACATCAACAACATGTATCATGTCTCGCGCGTCGGCCTTCCATACGTGTATGTAAGCTGTTACCACTAGTAGAGACATGTTACAGGTCAACCTAGTGTGTGGGAACAATACAGTCATGGATACAGCGTGGAGTATCGTATTAGTAGGGCATGCAAACGAGGGTAGAGGGTGCGGCCGGTGTTATAAGTCAAGTACAAGTACATGTGTTATTATAATTATCATCAGATGTATGCATTCCTATCCTAACAACGGGCAAACAAAATACAATTCAATAATACCATCATGAAGAATTAGAACACAACACCAAAAGAAAGAAAACAATTTTATGCAAGACAGTACTCAAATCACGAAAAAAGACGCCAGGCGTGCAAACCAAGTTCCCATTACTATTATTAGCATTAGAAATGCAGTAGTTTGTGGTCTGCTTTGCAAGAGTCCATGAATGGCATGATGTACACTGTACATGATTGTGCTCTGTCTTGGTCATGCTACTATGGTCTTCACAGTAGTCATGGTAACCAGGAATTGGCAGCTACTGTGGCCACATGCGGACTCTTGCAGTCTTGGTCTTACCCGCTGCGCAGAGTGCAGACTGTAGGCCTGGGCGGATAATGCTAGTTATTTCGCGGGATAATGCTAATAGCAATGCCAGAAAAATTCATAATGCTACTTATAAAGCTGCTGTTCCTCTGTAATGCCAAAAAAATCATCAGTAGTAACAAGAGGAGATAAACAAGACTCAAGAGTGTGCAACTCGCGGATGGGTTGGCCCACGGCGGAATTTTTTGTTGACGTAATCTTTTCGACGACGCACGCGCTGCGAGTCTTTCGGAAAGTTTTCCCTCGTGCTCTTGGCCGGGCTTTACACTACAAGGTCGGTGTCCAGCACGTGCTCTCACATTGCTCTGCGGCAAACTGCGCGTTTCTCTGAAAAAAGGTGACGTCAACAAAAAATTCCGCTGTGGGCGGGGGTATCTGCAGATTGTGCAGGAGACTCGGATCCGGAGTTGCACACTTTTGTTTATCTACTCTTGGTAGTAAGTATGGAAAAATGGCTTGGTTGGCAGTATTGTGCACGTTTCGTATACGTCGTTCTACTTAAGACGGCATGGGAAATGCTAGAAAATCGTGATCATAAACATAATGCTAATTTTATGCTGCTATTGCTCTATAATGCCAGCAAAACCGCAATAGTATGCATGGAAAATGGCTTAGTTCGGCCGCCCTCCCGCCATAGCCAATGCACTAATGCTACATGACTGTACAAACATCAGCTGCTCCCCCGGGGACCCACCCCACATTTGACTTGCAGTGGCCAAAACTTCCATATTTTGTGTCTAATGCCACTTTTGTGGAAATGTAGTGTTATAATGCTAGCATAATGCTCGTTGCAAATCGCACCGTGACTATACTGCTACTTACGGTACATGTATAAATTAACGCAATACCTAGTCATAGAGTAAGCTGCGCACTCAGTACAAACACCATTACGGCATTAGCAACACTTGTTTTCATGTATAGAAGCTTGTTCCTTGAACGTTTTCGTGGCCATCTCATCAGAAGGATTACTTATCTCCACGTAAGCTTTTTAATTACATGTACATGTATATAATGCTAGCATTATCCGCCCAGGCCTAGTGCAGAGCCAGTTGTGTAGTCGTGTTTAGAGTCTTAGTTGAGTTTGGGCGTATGCCCCACCACCTCCCCCTTCATCCTGTTTGCTGGTACAATGGGCAGAACAATCTACATGTACATGTACATGGACACGTAAATTATAGTAAGTACAAATGTAATAACCACCCAGCTCAGGAGGCTCACTCATGAAGCATGAGAATTTGAGGCATCCTTTGCGAGTGGGATTGACAAATTGTAGCAAATAGAACGCCAAATATCCCACTTAAAACTCTACTTGCTCTACTTGTTTCCTCAATCATCCCCCCCCCCCCCCCCACACACACACGGACTCGACCCACATTCTTTGTGGCAGCTGCACTGATCTCACTTGCGTTCCATCACGATCACGCCTAGCTTTCCCCGTTTTACCGGGGTATCTCCTCATAAGGCAACCGGAGGCGCTGGTGGAAAGAGCAAATTATACGTAGGCATCAGAAGAAACAAACTAGAGAATTGTAGAGGCTTGAGCAAAATGTTTATACTATAATAATAGATGAAAGAAGGCTGCAAAACATGCAGTATTATTATTCTAGGAGCATGTATTCTCGTAGCTCAACTTCAAAGGCACTCCGGTGAGGCCTACTTGTAGTTAGCCTACGCGTGTATCATGAGTACCGTACCAGTTTCAGCTGTTTCTATCTAGGGTGCAATGCAGAATTGGAGCCAGGGAAATGACTCACTAGTGCATCATGTCTAATTGTGTGAGTGGCAGTATAAGCCGTGTCGCTCATGTGACTTATTGTGCATTGCAAGTTTGCAACCAAGGAGTTGTAAAATGCTGGTATTTTACTACTCCATGCACCTGATTGCCATCAGGGAGAAGTAAAATACAAGGTTTCTGCCCCCTGGTTGCAAGCACACTGACTGATAGTAGAATGATTGAATGCTAGATGGGGTTTTAGAAGGCGACTTCTGCTGAGAATAGGAACTGGACTACAAACCAATGTCCAGTACCGATGAGTACACCCAAGCTGATGACGCGCAAATGCCAGCTCTGGCCTAGCGGAGACATGGTCGTACCCACTGACAGCGTAGTTGTCGTGCTCCCGGCTGAACAGACCGGGATGTTTGCCGGACCCTCACTTCTCGACGTGTACCGAACTGCTTCCTGCAGCGGCGAGCAAGGCTCCACGAACCGGGCAAGGTTACGGACATTGTACTCATAGTACGGTCTGCAGCCCTGTTTTCTGAAAAGAGGATAGTCCTCGTCTTTTGGGCCGTCGTACCTGAACGGGTTGCGTGTCAACATGGAGCTGTTGAACCAAGAGGCGCGCATGATGCGCACCAGGACATCCTTGAATGACACTGCCCTGATCGTAGCAATCTGCTCCTGATTGAAGAGTCTGCAAATTAATGGGATAGATTTGAAAGGGCAATAAATAACATCAATTGTGCACTCATAACAACAGGAACATAATGAAGAAAGTTAAGTTCCATAACGTTTTCTCGTGACTCATCAGTGGAACTCCGTCACATAAAAATAGAATAATTAAAAAAAAAAACTTTTGTACAGTAAAACCTGTAATGGCGACCACTCGGATATGGCGACCACTCGACCATGGCGACCACATTTCCTTGTCACGGACGCATTCATATTCAAAACAGCTCGGATAAGGCGACCACTCGCTCAACGCGACCAACGACCACCCACCCGCGACCGCGTTGCACAGTGCTAGTACATGTAAATGTATGCATTGCATGGTGCACCATGCATGGTAGATTTACACACCAGTGCAGGAAGTGTAGATGTGCATGATGCATGCACGACACTTGACATAACAGGTCTGAGGACCCCAGGCACATGAGTCGTGCTAGATAAAAAGAGTAAGAGTAGCATAGCTGTGTGCACTGTGATACACTGACCAAAATGATGTATCACGTGTGGATATGGTCACGCGCCATTGAACCTCGATAAGAAGACCACCTGCCCACGGTGACAACTTTTTCTCATCCCTTGAGGGGTCGCCTTAGACAAGTTTCACTGTAGCTAGGTAATATGGTTTTAGGTAGAACAGGATTACAGCAGCCAGCAAGTACAAAAAAAGTAATGTCTACACCCAAGTGTCCGAGCCTGTGTGACTATTGTGGTATTGGTATTGGTATTGATTTGAATTCGGTATCTCAACAGTACAATGTACAACTACTTGGGAAGATCCGAATGACATAGATACACAAACATAAAAGTGGAGTAGGTGCTACAGCTAATCATTTTATCGCAGGTTGTGGGACTAAACTAATACCAGTGTACATGTATGTGAGAAAGGTATTGGCAGATGAATGTGATACTGTGTGGATGAACGTGATGGTGCTTGCGTATTACTTGAAAAGTGTGAGTGACGCAATGTTTTCTTTCTGTTTTAATACATAGCACATATATTGACACACAAACAAAATTTCACGGTTCGCGTGAGACTCGCCGGGTTTCTCTATATAGAGGCCGAGTTTTCCGCATCCGTAGGAACGCCACCACCCTTCAAGGATCAAGACGCAGATGCAGCTTCTTAAGCGGTGGGAGGTGAGAAGATCAGCTCACCAGCATGTGGTCAAAGACCGAAAATCCCATTCACTGCATCCATGTTTTCCTCGTGCCAGGCCACGAGTTCCCAATTAACTGTGGGTCGCAGCACGGCTGGAAAAAATCCTTCCGCTTCCAAGCAGGACTTGAACATGGTACCCTCTGTTTCTCAATCATGGTCTTAGACCATCCCACTATGCCTGCCCGAATTGCCTCTCACGGTACAACGTGCAATACTGAGCCTACGCTTAGTGTGGTGTCTGTTAGTGCCACCTACTCATCACCTTACTCACTGAGCAATGACAGATTTCATGTCTAACGTGTTTTAATGGAAAAAATGTTACAAAATGAGTTTTGTAAGTATACACCTACCCGTTCTGTTGATTCTCAAACCAGAATCGGTCTCCTTCACGGATACGCAGGAACTGATCAAGGATAACAGCCGAGAACAGTGGTCCCGGCCCGTCGACAGTCTCCAGCAGACCACCAGACCAGATATCCACAGTATCGATACTGACATTGCTAGGTTGGTTGGTGAAGTTGTTGTGCAGGCTTTCAAGTCGTCTAATGGCCTGGAACACCGGTCAAGTGCAAACCAATGTTAAAAAAACAAATGTTAGCTTCATGCCTTGCTACTTTGCTACTCGCTAGCACCACACTCCACCATAATTATTGCAAATGAGCCAAATTTAGCAGTCAGAGGGAAATCTCCCAGATCTTTGCAACATGAAGCATCTCCCTGCCCCCTTGCCCCCCCCCCCCCCAGACCAATATAGAGACCATCCGCCCTTATTTTTTTGCGCTGATGTACCACAACTCAGGGGCGTAGCAGCCGGTCCGGCGGGTCCGACTCTGGCCGGACCACATTTTTTTAACACAATGCCAAAAGTGCCCAGAATCATCGGCAGGATTTTGCACTCTAATTTCAATTTTTCCTGGGCGAGAGCACACACACGCACGCATGCACACACACACGCACACGCACACACACACACACACACGCACACACACACACACACACGCACGCACACACACACACACACACACACACACACATACTGTAAAACATGCAATTTTCAGTGTAACTTTAATTTCGGTGATTTCGGTAGAGAAACCAGGCACCTAAATTTAAATTACACCTAAACGGCACTAGAGTATGCACTGTATGTGAAAGGAACACTGGTCACCTAATTCTACATTACACCTGAAACCTGGCAGGTCTCTGGCACCGAAATATTAATGCACCTAAAATTACATGTTTTACAGTACATATACTTGTATATATATCTACCTCTTGCATGCATCAACAATCTATATGGCCTGTTTATATTACGCACATCTCTGGTGGTTGAATAAGTAGTGTCGGCTCCCTCAAAGTTATCGAAGATCGTTGGATTGATCTCCCTGTAGCTGTTTACACGAGGCAAACCGAAGCTCATTCTTGCCGTGTTATAGTCAGGCAGACCATGATCCCGAGCACGCTGGATGTTCAGTGCCATCAAATCACGACGACTGAAATCCAGACCTCCAAACACCTGCACAATGCATGTGCAGTTATATAAGCACAAATACACAGAAACTGAGCCATACTCACGACTCACGGACAGAGGCACACAATATTCATAGAATATTCGTGCATTTCATGAACATTATTTGCAGTAGTCATTATGGCAACACGCCAGGAGATATTGAATAAATCATGAATTTAACGCAATCACAATTTTAGAAGAAATAATGAAGAACAATAGGACACAAGTTATGCGGACTGACAGACAAACAAGTGCAGATAACAAGGTACACATACTGAATAAAGTGAATATAACAGATTTCGACGTACAGCTACTGCCTCCTTTAAGCAAAACTTCGTTGCGTTTTTTGTGTGTTCTTGTCATGATGTTTCTGTCGACATTAGACACACAATTCAGTGAGCTATCCCCTACATAGGGTAGCTGTTGTATCGTCCATTGTTCTGACAGGCTTTTGAACCTCCCAAAAGCGTGTAGTCCTTGAAAAAATCGGCGAAGCATAACCGTTTCTCGACAGGATCAGTGTCACCAGAACACAACCCCAGCCACCTGACGCCGAAGTGCGAAAATGAGAAACAGTTTGAAAGACCGCGTGGCTCGGAGAAGTGCCCAGAAGCCGGCCAGCCACTGCTGTACCAGCACGATGGTGCGCGTCCGCACACAGCCAAAATAAATCAATGCACATGTGTTTGCAGCGCGGGGGGGGGGGGGGGAGCAAAAGGGTTTGACGTTCAGGTTGTCGTTCAGCCGGCGCATAGTCCCGATCTCAACGTTGACGACTTGACGTTCTTCCACAGCCTGAAGACAGACGTGTCACTCGTGGCGAAGGAAACCAGAAAGGAGCTTGTGCAGGCTGTGTAAACGTGCTGGCACGAGTTCCCCGCTGCCAAGATGAGAAGCATTTGGTTGTGTCACTTGTGTCTGTATGACTCCTTTCATGGCATTCTGGAAAGTCTGAGCGGTGGAGACGACAACTATCAGCGCAACCGTGGAGGTCGTCAAGCTCACAATTCGAGCGAAGAACTTGGCGATCTGCACGATCAAATCGTGTATCGGAAACTTGTAAACGCTGCGGAACAAAAGCTGGCAGCGCTGGAGGCGAACGTCAGCGAGGATGCCGACTCAATGTCATCAAGGAGTGAGTCGTCATCAGATTCAGACGAAGAGTGAAGCTGGACTGCTTTAACGAGCTATGTGACATCTGTAAATAACTATCTCTCATATGCTGCTTTGTTTTCCACTTTGCAAAGCTCGTTGGTAGCCATAAAATGCTTTGGACTGAACTGTAAAAATGCAACAAAGTTTTGCTTAGCGGAGGAAGTAACTTGAATCTACAACCCCCCCCCCCCCCCCAAAGAAAATGTCACGTCCCTATGGCACTCTTGGGAGGTTAATTACTCTTGGGAGATTATTAATTCTTCAGAGGTTATTTATTCTTGGGAGGTTATTTATTCTCAGGAGGTTATTTACTTTTGTCGGAACCTGATAGCAAAAATGCAAAAGATGTTGTTGGCAACATATAATGATGTGGTGAAGATCCAACACGGACGACTGTGGTGTTCACCTCTACATACGTGCTGTGGCCCCACTGGAGCATGCGCTCTTCTGTATGTAGTAGTACTGTTAGCTCCCGGCTAAACGATGTCCCCCCACGCCAGAACACAGGGGTTTTCCCGGCTAAACGATGTCCCCTCACACCAGAACACAGGGGTTTTCCCGGCTAAACGATGTCCCCTCACACCAGAACACAGGGGTGGTTCCGGCTAAAAGATGTCCCCTCACACCAGAACACAGGGGTTTTCCCGGCTAAACGATGTCCCCTCACACCAGAACACAGGGGTGGTTCCGGCTAAAAGATGTCCCCTCACATCAGAACACAGGGGTTTTCCCGGCTAAACGATGTCCCCTCACACCAGAACACAGGAGTTTTCCCGGCTAAACGATGTCCCCTCACACCAGAACACAGGGGTGGTTCCGGCTAAAAGATGTCCCCTCACACCAGAACACAGGGGTTTTCCCGGCTAAACGATGTCCCCTCACACCAGAACACAGGGGTTTTCCCGGCTAAACAATGTCCCCTCACACCAGAACACAGGGGTTTTATAGTATTGAATTATTGAAGTATTTCGACAATTGAGTGTAGACAAGACGGAGAACAGGACAACGGCAACTCAAGACTAGAACAGAACTGGAGACCCACTGGAGCATGCGCTCTTCTGTATGTGAGTGGCTCTCATTGCCAAGGGAAACGAGCGGGAAATACGAATAGTGACTATGTACAGGTCGTAGCATAAATACACCTATCACAGTACATCGTGTTATGTCATTCATGTAGCATGTGCTGTTTCCCGAGCGCGCGCATGAAACAGACTTCGTGGCTTTTAGTGACTGTGTCAAAGCCGCGTGTTGGCGGGTTTGTGACCTGGCTTAGCTCAGTCTAGTGGCTACCCAGGTAGACGATCAATATAGTCGCCATCCAAGTTAGCTAGCTCACACAGAACGACAGGTTTCTAATCCCAGTGCTTATTGAACCATTGCAGTACTAGATCGAAAGATCAAGCATGATGAGTCAAAGACCCAAAGCAGGAGAGAGTCGGAGTGACTCTCTCAGAATTGAGAGTGAATCGAGGGAGTAGTGCGCTTCCCGAGAGTTGAGGATGAATGTTGGCAAAACAGCTCCTTATAATTATATGCTACATTATGTGATCAAAAGCATACAGCGGCAAGAATGCGTAATTATTGTTGCTACAGTTCAACCAGTGGTGCAATCAGCCAAACTAGAATGTAGTACAACGATCAATACGCCCGCTCACCCAAATATGAATATTACTGATCTCCAAATGCTGGCATGATCTTGGTCCACGATCTGGTGGGCTGGGATGCATTGCAGCAGGCGGGAAGCGTAGCTGTGTCATTCTTGTGGCTTCACCCAATATGGGTTCTTCCCCAAACATAGCAGCAGACGGCAATGCCGCGTTCCCTCCAACAGGCCTGGGGTCTAGAGTACGCGAAGTACCGTCGACCCATTGTGTCTTACGACACGAGAAGAGGCGCAACTCTTGCTCAACTAACAAAGGTATCAGCTCCCTTGCAGGACTAAGCGCGGTCCCCTCAAGCTCAACAGTGTAGCGGGCACAATACTGACGACTTGTACTGAAGGTGTGGCCGACGTACGACCACACTTTGCGGCTCTAGGCCACGAGTTGTAAGTCATGATTGCTCTACTAACGAAAGTGCCAAATCCTTCACAGGACTTATAATGGTTCTTACAGAACTCTAGAATATTTCGGAGCCCAGCTTTTGACTTGCTGAACTCAATGCATGGTCGTTTTCACGACGAGAGTCTGACCCTGGTCATGACAGCTGTGCATGAGTTGAGTCTGGACTCTTGTTGTTTTGGACTGAAGAAATAAAGAATACTACATTGGCGCTGCGAGCTATTTCGTTCCTCCGCGGCGAGCATGGGTGACTGACCACCGCCATTCTGCCCCTGGACCTTTCCAATTTATGTCTCCCTCTACGATGCCGCCACACGCTGGCCCGCCTGGACACGGACTTTCAAACTTTATCTTGCTGCGTCCAAAATTGGCGATGACGACCAACAGTGTGGGCTACTCCAGTACCTGGGAGGAGAAGACATCCAGCAACTCGTGCCCACTCTCAGCAACACAGGGACACCATTCGACGACCTCGCCAAAGTGTTGCAGGTCGAGTTTGAAAAACACTAGGGCTCAGACAGTTAGTCCGATTAACCGGTTTAAGACCGGTTTTGTAAAGGTTACGCGGGTACTTTTTCGAGTTTTCGAAGTACACATTTTTACTGAGTTTCGGCATGCAGTTTTACGACCAACGGAACGCGAAGCCCTCGGCGTGAAGTACGGCTGCTTGCGCTTCTCCCATTTCCTCAGCGGCGACCCCGGCTTCACGGTCCACACCGACCACAAGCCCCTTCTACAGCTGCTTTGCCCGTCTCCACGACCTCCACCCCGCATCCAAGACCTCCACTCCAAGCTGGTGTATGAATCTGGCCCTACCAACCCAGCAGACGTCTTGAGGCGTCGCCCTCAGCCACATCCTCCCCTGCCTAACGTTGGTGAGGAGGATGACACTGCCTATATCAATGCCATCGCACAGTCCTCTGTTCTCAACGCCCTCCTCTTGTCTGACATCCAAGCCGCAACTCGAGCAGACTCAACGCTCCAGGCCGTGCTGCTGTCACTGCAGACAGGCATGTGGGACAACAATCGAACGATCGGCAAGGTCCTCCACGCTGCCCAACTGGATAGCCGAGATTTGCGTACTGCACTTGACGAGTGGCTACTCGCACACCGCAGCACTCCCCACCCCACCAGAGGCCTGGCTCCAGCTACCGTCATGTTTGGCGGCAGCATCCTTGACACTCTCCCCAGCCTGTGCAGGCCCCAGCACCAGATGCGACCGTCACGGCAAACAAGGAGCATGCGTTCCACGCCCGCCAATGCGAGGCGGTGAACCAACATCGCAGTGCACAACCGGCTTCGACCATCACCCTCAAGCCGGGTCAACAAGTTCTGCCCAAGAACGAACGGCAGCACAACAAGCTCGACTCGATCTGGGATCCCAACCCATAACTGTGGACGAGGTGACGGGCTCCCCCGTGGTCATCACCCATCCAGTCACAGGCCAGCAGGTATTTAGGCATGTATCATTTATGAAGCCGACTCCCGCTATCGTGGTCCATCCTTCGTCGCTCGAGCCTCCACTACCTACCCCGTCGCCGCCGCCACCACCGCCACCACCACCGCCGCCACCGCCGCCACCACTGACAACAGGTGTAGCATGTGCTGTATGCATGTAGCATGTGCTGTATGCATGTAGCATGTGCTGTTTTCAGCATGTCATGCATGTAGCATGTGCTGTTTCCCGCACGCGCGCGCGTGTGAAACGGACTTCGCAGCTTACAAATTTTCGTTTGGAATTCAGGTAACACGATAAGATTTCGAAATTGCTCTGACACAATGTCCTGCCACTTCTGGAACCGGTCGGACATGTGCGGACACTGTGATTTGGCAGATTTTGTGGCACAAGTCTGGTACTCATAATTATCTTCGCGACAACACGGCGCACATCAAGTACATGTGCGATCATCACACAGATCTCAAGTATTGTAACACTGATTCAAATCTCTGTGCTTTGTGCAGCAAGCATAGTGACTGTGAACGTGCAGTGTTTTTGCAAATTTCGTATTTGAGCTGGTTTTTCAGTGACAGATCAAAAACATACTTTTTTTACGCAGTCAACAAAATACAAAGTGGGCACCTGCTTGCCCGTTCCTGTTCCCAGCTCCAAGGTGGACAACATGTCACTACTCGAGTTGGCTGAAGGCTCCCATCTTTGCAAACGCGATGGCTCTTTGAACAGCACTTGGATTCTTCGCGACGTTGAATTTCTGACTAACTTTCGCTGCTGTTGCTCCGTCGATCTTGCACAGTGCCTGTGCGACAGGAGCGTATTTGACTGGATTTGCAGAAGACTTCTCCTTTCGATAGAGGCATATCGCAAGCTGGTACATTTCTCACGACTTTTTTTCCCTGGAACACAGACGTTTTCAATATTTCGGATCGTACAAGCGCCTCGCGGAATAGTTCCTAGCGAGAAAGCGAAGAAAAAATTTTCATTTCAAAACTCCTTCTCCATCGTTTGCTGCGCTCAAACTGGAGCTACACCGACGTGGACAGCTCCCTCTCTTGCTGTAAAACCCACTTGTCACGGGTTGCTGCTCCAACTTCGTGAGACTTCTTCCCAGGCAGAGCGCCATTGTCCTCAGCCGTTCTCTTTCCCAGCGACGCAATTTCTGAATTTCGATCGGACAAATTGTCCGTTCAAGAAAAAAAGAGCCGGATTCGAATCGAAAATGGTGGGAAAATGTCCAATGTCCGACCGTTATCGTCACAGTGTTCCCTGGAATTAACTTTCGCTATATTCGGTAGGGGGCACGAAATAACTAAAGTTTGTACCAAACTGAAGTTTTTCTTCTAAGCGTTCGGGGTGACAGACCTTGACCAAAACGAAATTTAGTACGTAACAAGCCTGCTGGTGGAGTGACATAACGAAAGATTTCGTGAACGAAAATTAATTTTGTACTTATACAGTAGCACAATGACATTCTGGAGTTACAAGCAGTATAGGA